TTATTAAATATTTATTTTAAAACTGATATTTGGAGGAACACAGTTACTATATATATGGGTTGATCTGAAATAATTGGAAATAAATTTACCACACTGATTGAGAAATAATTATGGACATGAAAATGGTCTATCACATTAAAATAAAACAAACCATAAATAGTTACATCTGACAATCATAAAGTATTCTAATTATCTCCCTAACACAGAAATATTTGAAATTATTTTTTATTTTTATTACTCAAGACTTTCTGTAATGTTTCATATAGCACTGCTTATACTTACTGTACTTCATGAACTCAAACATTTGTCCACTGAAATTATAGATTAATGATCTAAATATTTTTAAAAATATGTTTTTATTGATTTCAGAGAGAGGAAGGGAGAGGGAGAGATAGAAACAGTGATGACAGGAAACATTGATCAGCTGCCTCCTGTACACTCCTTACTGGAGATTGAGCCTGTAACCCAGGCATATGCCCTGAGGGGGTTTGAACCAGGATCTCCTGGTGCATGGGTTGATGCTCAACCACTGAGCCATGCTGGTTGGGCTGACATATTTTTAATTGATCTCGATGTATCCCAAAGGTACAGAGATAGAATAATAAATAAAACTGACATTCTTTTATATATGCATTCCTATGTTCATTGCAGTATTTACAATAGTTAAGACATGAAAGCAACCCAAACCCATCAATAGACAAGTGGATAAAAAAGTTGTGGTACATATATACAATGAACTGTTACTCAGCTATAAAAAGGAATGAAATCTTGCCATTTGCAACAGTGTGGATGAACCTAGAAAGTATTATGCTAAGTGAAACAAGTCAGAGAAAGGCAATTATCATGATTTCACTTATATGTGGAATCTAAAAAACAAAATAAACAAAATAGAAAGAGACTCATAAAGAGAAAAGAACAGTGGTTGCCAGAGGGGATGGTGGTTGGGGGCTGAGTGAAAAAGGTGAAGGGACAAGTACAAACTGCAGTTACAAAACAGTCACAGGGATGTAAAGTATAGCATAGAGAATATAGTCAATAATATTGTAATAACTATGTATGATGCCACGTGGGTACTGGAAATTGAGGGGAATACTTTGTAAAGTATATGATTATCTAACACTACACTATACACCTGAAACTAATACAAAATAATATTGAATGTAAACTATAATAAAAAATAAAATGGACATTCTTTTTATATACCCATCATAAGTATTTTGTGATCTAAATGAATAATCTGTGTATCTTTAGACATCATAGGATCTTTAATATTTTGGGCCTATAAATTATAAATTTGCAAGTAAATATATAAAATAAAAAACAAAGGCCTGAAGGAGCAGTCGTAAAAGGTACTCAAATAACATTTGAGATGGTTGTTTCTAGTCTTCCTCCCATCAATACAGAAAAGAATAATGCAAAATTTCACCACAGGGTTTAAATCTGACAAACCAGTATAGTAGCTACTATAGCAGTCATCTGTCTTAAGTGTATATGACCTTTGGATAGAAATACAATAGCAAATATATCATGCTGAACATTGATATCCTAGTCACAGATCAACAATGGTTCCATCTGTAAATTTTAATAACATGACTTTAAAATCACTCAACACTGCATTGATGATAGTTTTTAACTATTTCAAAAAGTTTGCAAAAATCCTGGTTATCTACACTAATAAAAGAGAAACATGCAAATTGGTGTCACTCCACTACACCCACCAGCCAATGAGAGTGACTATGCAAATTAACCCAACAAAGATGGCGGTTAATTTGCATATGCAGGCACGGAGCGAAGAATGAAGGCTCCGGTCGGAGTGAAGACTGAAGACTAAAGACTAAAGAGGCTTGGGGAGGGGCAGCGGAGAAGCCAAGCCTCGCTGCGGCCGGACCAAAGGCCTGGGTCCTGGGTGCTGGAGGAAAACTGGTGCCAGCAGCCAGGGGAAGGAAGGCCTATTGAATGAATCTCTTCGTGCAACGGGCCTCTAGTTTTAAATATAGAAACGCACTGATATTTATTCTGACTTTTCTATAAGGAATATTGAAAGTTGGCAATATTGTTCGGGATTTACATTTCTTTTATCTATATGCAATGTGAGCACTAATTAATTTTATTTACAGGCTTGTTTTAAAAACTTATCCATGGTGACAGGTATCCACAATTTCAGGTAAATTCTTCTTCCTGCCAGTTTTCAATGTTACTCAATTGTCAGGTAGACACAAGCAAAATAAAGAATGGACAATTATTAGCTTAGAAAAGAGAGAACCCTTCTCTTTTTCTACAGGTAAGCCATGATAACATAGAAATTCGGGATATAAATAAAGTCAAAGGACATGAAAAGAAATGGAATTACAGACTTTTCCAAACATAGCTTTCTCAGTAGACTTTCTTATTAGATGGATACTTCCACTTTAAGTTTCTAATTATTTATAGAACCATTAACAAACAAACAAAAGACCTGTTCATCTCATTAAAGTCTCAAACTTGAACTCTTTTCTGTACATTAGATTTGGAATAAGAAGATTTTTTTGTCTAGGTCCTATTTCTCCATTACAAAAACACTGGTGTAAAACAAAAAACTCATTTTTTATATATTTGATAAGGAGTAAAACACATTTTTTCCAGGTCCTAAATCTCCATCAAGAACACATTGGTGTAGCCCTGGCCAATACGGCTCAATTGGCCAAGTAACATCCCATGCACCAAAAGGTGGCCAGTTTTGATTCCCAGTCAGGGCACATGCCCAGGTTGCAGATTTGACCCTGGTTAGGGAGCTGCAGTAGGCAACCTATTGATGTCTGTCTGTCTGTCTGTCTGTCTCTCTCTCTCTCTCTCAGCGACAAAACCATGTTAAAAAAAAAAAAAAAGGAACATATCGCTGTAAAACCAGGTTGGGGAACATTCGGCTTTTAGTATAAGGCCTGCTAAATCATTTGGTCTGCCCTGCCAAGGCATTAGGAGTGAGTTAAGTAAATGTTTGACCAAATATAGTAGGCTGATTTTTTAGCTAATAATCTTGTATGACCCACAAATTATGTTATAAATATCCAAATGGATATTTGGCAGAAAAAAGGTTCCCCAGCCCTGATGTAAAACAATCAAGTTATCCTTGGTCTTAAACATTTCCCTAATAAAAGGAACCTAGAGAGCATTATGCTAAGTGAAATAAGTCAGCCAGAGAAAGGCAAATATCATATGATTTCACTTATATGTGGAATCTAAAGAACAAAATAGAAACAGATTCATAAAGAGAACAGAATGGTGGTTACAAGTACAGATTGCAGTTACAAAACAGTCACAGGGATATAAAGTACAGCATAGAGAAGATAATAATACTTTAATAATTATGTATAATATTTTAAGAAACTATGTATAATTATTTTTTAAGAAAAATAATACCTGTGGTCAACTTAAAAAGATTATTTCTCTGTAACAGGAAAACACAAAGAACAAGGGCAATTATACTATCAAAGAACATATTTTACTTCTAAGAACTAAAACTGAAGAATGATGAGTCCTTTAAGACCACAAGAACAAAGTTTACTAGTTGCTAGAATATTGTTTTGATCTTTTTTATTGTTTAAGACATTTTAAATAAATATAATCCTACTTCCAATTTTCTTTTCATTAAAATGGTATGTCACTGCTGAAATATCCAGAACTTTTTCCAGATAAATTCGAAGGATCTTTATGAAACCTGTACCATAGAATTAAGTGTGACAGACCCACCACAGGAAACTCAATTTAACACGTAGTTTAGCATTTCCCCTTTAGAAAAGCCTTATACCTAGCAAAGTTGGAATGTAAGAAGACATTCCTCAGGCATACACAATACATAACACTAGGCTGCATTCTTTATAGCTTCTAGCAGAACCAGCAGGCTTCTATTTTGGCCAACGGTGATAGAGTAGTGGGTGTATGACAAATACAAATGGTCTCTGATACCAGCAGTGACTATTTTAATGGACACTGTTTTCACATTCACTTATTCCAAAAAATGGCAAGAAAATTACTCTGATGAAAACAATAATTAAATTCTTTGTTATTCACATATTTCTTAGTCCTAGTACACATGATCTTGGTTTCTATTTAATTTGAATGAAAGCTAGGCAGGTAGTAATTTCAAAAGAGCTTCCTTTTCTATAAGCTCAATACTGGAAATCTTAAATTTTTATAAAAACTTTCTAAGAAATAGAAAACAGTGATTTACAGAAATAAAATCCTGATAAACTTAAGAATTAGAAGACATTCAGGCATCATGGGCTGAATCAAGCCCAAAGTTGAACAATTATGGTAAGTATTTACTGCAATCTAATGCAAGTCCATTATGACCAAAGTGCTTAGCATGAATCAAGGTAAATGTTCCTTTGTTGAACCAAAGCACTGAAGTCATTAGGGATTAAACATTATACTAATAATAGTCATTTGGTTTTTGGAGGATTTAAAAAATAATAATACATCTGATATACTAGGGAAACAGGACAAGACACTTTCACTAAGTTGAAATTATAAAAAAAAAGAAAAAAAAACAACCATCCCTCAGTACACAAAACATAAAACATTTGCTCACAGAGACATAGATAACATTTTCCCAATATTATCAAGAAAAATTATGCTTACTATAAAAATACTTCTATGTCCTGAATTAATTTGTATCATTCTATAATAGGGGAATAGCATATGGATATGTAAGTTAATAAGTAAATATAATGACTATAAAACCAACTTTGTTCACTGTTTCACTATATATTATATATACAAAATGAAATAAAATGTAAACTAAAGAACACTTTTTTCATCCTCAGACTATAAATTATCACTTCCGTGTTAAATCATAAATGTTCCTTATAATAGCAGTCCAAACTATATGATTTTGGAATAGAACAACAAATTCATATTGCTTCAAGTTATATGTTTATTATTTTAAAATTTTGACAAAAATACTTTTAAAATGCTAAATAAATATGAATTTTGACTAGCTATTAGGTTTTTCTTTCTTCCTTTTTCTTTCTTTTCTTTCTTCCTTTTTTTTTCACAATGGCATTACATAACAAACCAAAACATATACAAAGAACATTAAAAATAGCATTTTGCTAACAAACAGAAATTTAAAATAAGATAAAACTAGGTAACATTAACAAAAACTTTAAGTCTAACTAAATCTTAAAGACAAACTATATTACAAAACTACAAAATATATACAAACAAAATATATAGTATGCCCTACTTTGGATGTATAATACATTTTTCTGTGCTTAAATAATGCGATTATTTTGCCTTTTGAAACTGTGTAGAGAAAAACATTTTGAAATGAAAAAATATTTTAACTTTCTAAAAATGAGCATATGGGTATTATGATAGCAGTCATACAAAACATGTTACTGAAACATTCTAAATAAGATTAACATATTAATTTTAACATTTGAGATCTGACTAATTTACATCATCATCATCATCTCTACTGCTACTGTGAGTCATAATCCATTCCCTGTAGACCTGAATTTTCTGTAAGCATGGTAAAGGAAAAAAAGAAGCACAATGGTTAGCTAAGTATGACAAATTCCTTGGAAGACATGCAAACTTATGAAATGTTCAAGGAGTCAAAATAATTTTGAAGCAGACACCAGCTCTGAATAGGGCAATAATTATGGATATAATATTCCATATCTTAATAGACTAAGACTAAACTCTACTGGTTGCTATGTTTAAAATCATTTGGTGATACCAATAAGGTAGTCTGGGGATACATTAGAATTATTCTATTTCTCTAATAGAATTATTCTATTTCTCTCTTCAACTTACTACTAGGAAGCACTATGATAATGTACTACTTTCTAGACAGGTACATAACGAAAGTGGTTTTTTTATATTTAATTATTATACAGGGGCATATAGAATTTGTGAATACAGAGCACTATTTTTAGAAAATTAGAAAATAAGAGGAGAAATATTTGGTAGTATTAAACTTTTTCTAAACGCACCAGTTAAATAGATTAAATCTAAGCTGATGAGATTTTAAATCCTGTTTCTATGACATTCAGTTCTTTACCACAGTATTCATATATTTTAAAGTGTTAGCTAATCATACAGTAGAGTTTTGATTCAAAGAAGCACTATTACCACCAAAGCAATAACCCAGTTCTTACACCTATTAAGAGAATAATGCTAACTGCAAACATCCTAAGGCATCTGGTGAATTCCTATAGGTATTCCAGCTATACTGTGTTTACTGTTCTTGTTGAAAAACAAGTAATGGCTGACAAGGATTGTGAGCTTTTAGACCTTTAAATAGCTCTTTTGGCAATTAATGGTAAGACTGGCCTACTAAAAATAATATATATATTAAAAAATATAGTCAAAAGTAATGACCTTTAAATACCAAGGTTTAAAGCTTTAGATAAACAAGGAAGGCATAGAATAAATTTACTTGTCAGTGAAATCAAGTTATCAATCACAAGAAATGTTTGGTATCTCATGGCTTTCTTATGTATTATAATCTGTTTTCTAATAATGACAATTCATTTCTAAACTCCTTACCATTCATCTTTATTTCCTATTAAGTTTATTAAAATAGTGTCTCAAATATTTTTAGTTTTTTAAAGATGATTTGATAACTATTCAGTCTACTAAAATGTTAGTAACCTGTTAATTGTGTTCTAAAAAGAGAAGGCAGGTACTGAGTAGAAATATATGTTTCAAATGTATGAACCAGAGGTTTGTTCTGTAACATTTCCAACTTGCTGGATTTCCATCCAACATTTCTTCCAAAGAAGGCTATACTGACACTGCAGAGACCGTACAAAATGCCCCTGAGAGCACAGTCTCTCACTTGATTGCCAGTTCCATCCCAATATGGTATTATTTTGATGCTTTAAAAACATTTTAAACACAATGTAAAATCACTTTACTAAATATCACACATTAATTCAATGGTGATGTTTTACTACATTAGATGAAAGCACATTTTATGCAAAAATTACATACTCTGCATGTAGTGAGCAAAATATTGAAGTTTTAAATCTTACCCTAATCACTTTAAACTTGGAAATATTTAAAATTTCAAGGCTTTATAAAGGAAGAGACATATTCCCACATTTCATTATTACCTTGAATATTTGCAAGTCTATACAACATAATGACTCTTTGTTTTCAAAAATAATTTATTTTAGTATTCCACATCTAACCCACACAAACTACTTTAAATTGGTATAATTTTATGGTATATATTACCTACACTATAATCCAGATTTTTAAGAAGTTCAACTTACTAGCAAGAAAATTATCTAACAGATAAAATATTCTACCTCCAAACTGCCTATGTTCCAAAAGCTACTTTCCTCTACTAAAAGATATTGGCTTTCTTATGAACTACTTATCAAATTCCAAAAGATTTTAAATGGATGACACAAGCAGAAAGCAAAAAGAGGGTTTGGGCCACTTGAGCATCTATAAAAGAAAAGCACAAGAACCTAAGAATTCGAATAGCAATGGCCCTGATTTTTTCCCTACCCATTCCTAGTTGGACATGAGAATTATATCCAGTATAAAAGCACCTGTTGGTTTGATAAAGAGAAGGAAGTACCCTAAACAGAAATGGTTTCATTGGCTAAAAAGTACCACCAACTATGAGGGTATATAGACACAACGGTTTTTAATAAATCTAGCAAATCCAGCACAGAACTAGAATACCCTATAAAAAGATCAGATTCACTAAAAATTCTATACAAAAGTTACCAATACAAAAGCTTTTCTTTGTTTTCAAAACACTGAAACAGCTGTACGTAGTTTGTAAATTTTAATACTAAAATCTACTGTTGGCTTTCAGTTGCAAAGTCATGCATTAACTGTTTTCATATCAAACTTTTTGATGCCTGTAAAAAAGAAAAAAAATCTTATAGTAAATAAATGTACAATAAAACCTAGGTAAAATAAGGAACTTATAAATGGAATTAAGCAAAACATAGAAGTTCAAATAATCTAACATATGTTTAAAGCTACTTTTAATAAAGCTAAATTAATCTTAACTTGTAAGATATTTCTTCACCCACCTGCAACATCTGATTTCCAGTACCATCCCTCAACCTGTAAGGTCTGATAACTCCATCTTCATTAAAGAACCGAGGGGGCCGCAGACTCTCCACTTCATCAGAAGTCTCTGTAGCCCTAGAGGAAAAAAAATATAACTTGATTTTTAAAAATATTCAAAAGTTGTCCTTGGCTGGTGTGCTCAGTGGTTACAACACCAAAACATTGTGGATTCAATTCCTAATCAAGGACACAGACATGGGCCTGGATCCTTGGCCCCAGTTGGGGCACTTGGAAGAGGCAACCAATGGATGTGTTTCTCTCACACTGATGTTTCTCCTCCCTTCTCCCCCACCTCTCTTCCACTCTCTCTAAAAATAATGGGAAAATATTCTCAGGTGAGGATTAAAATAATTTTTTCTTTTTCCAAAAATTCATCATCTTTAAAATGGAATTACTAAAAAGAATCTTCTTTTGGACAAAATAAGACTATGATACTTCTCTTTTAAAATTTATCTTTATGACACTAATAATGCAAGTTCTCTAGAAAAATGTAGTACTATGAATAAGTTTGCTTATAGCATCTTTTGGACTTTCTTTGTAGATCAATCAGCAAATGATGAGTATTGCTATTTCTTTTCCATGTTAAGACCTTTAAATTCTTTTTTTTCCCCTATGATACTACCTAGTTCCTCCAGTACAATGCTAAATATATGAGAGGATTTCAGGCATCCTTTCTCATTCCTAAAAGAAAAAGGAAAGCTCATAAGAGTTCTCTATGGATTACAGATATTAGCAACATTTTTGTTCTGTAAGAATTTTTCTTCTTGGGTTTGATATGTGTTATTTGAAACACATATATGCTTGCTGAATTTGATACTGTAATATTTTCTTTAACATTTTGACTGTATGAACGTACTTGAGAATGGTCCATGAATTGTTCATTCATTCAGCAAATATTCACATTCATAAAAAATTAATTTATTATATAAACATACCTTACCACATAATGTGTCTACATGTATAGACACACACACACACACACACACATATAGATAGATAGATAGACAGATAGATAGATAGATAGATAGATAGTATCTCCAATTAAAAGCAGAGATTGGCAGAATGGATAAAAATATAATCCAAATACATATATATATATATACACTGTTCATAAGAGAATTTCTTTAGAGTTAAGGACACAAATAAATTGAAAGTAAAAGGATGTAAAAAGATATGCTACATAAACAGTAACCAAAAGCAAAAGAGAGCTGGAATGGTTATACTAAGATTTAGACACAAAGAAGGACATTTTATGAAGAAAGGGTGAATACATCAAAAGGATACAAAAGCTACAAACATATAAGTTCTTAACAAAAGAGCCCCTAAATACACAAAGCAAAAACTGACAGAACTGAAAAGAGAAAAAACAATTCACAATAACACTTATTTTAATATCCAATTTTCAATAGTAGATACCAAATAGAAGACCATCAAGGAAATAGAAGACTTGTACAAATACTATAACCCACTTGGCCTAACAGACATTTGTAGAACACTCAATCCAATAACAGCAAATTACATATACTTCTTTTTCTTTTTCTTTTTTTAAAAAACATTGAATCACACACTTTATTTTTTTTTAAAATATATTTTATTAATTTTTTACAGAGAGGAAGGGAGAGAGAGATAGAGAGTTAGAAACATCGATGAGAGAGAAACATCGACCAGCTGCCTCCTGCACATCTCCTACTGGGGATGTGCCCTCAACCCAGGTACATGCCCTTGACCGGAATCGAACCCGGGACCCTTCAGTCCGCAGGCCGACGCTCTATCCACTGAGCCAAACCGGTTTCGGCTACATATACTTCTCAAGTGCACATTAAACATCCTCCAGGACTGACTATACATCAGGCCATAAAACATGTCTCTGTAAATATAAAAGTACCAAAACATACAAAATATGTTAACTGACCACACAGAATAAAATTAGAAATCTATAAGAGAAGAAAATTTGGAAAATTCACAAACTTGTGGAAATTAAACAACAGAAGCCTAAATAACTAGAGGCCGAAGAAAAAAAAATCACAAAGGAAAGTAACTACTTTCAGATGAATTAAAACAAACCAAAACTTAATGCGATGCAGTAAAGGCAGTGCTCAGAGGAAAATTTATTGCTGTGAAAGTGAACATTTAAAAAAGGCTCCAAAATGGATAATCTAATTTAATACTTGAGATACTAGAAAAAGAAAGCAAACTAAACCTGAGGCTAGCAAGAGGAACAAAAATAATAAATATTAGAGTAAATGAAATAGAAAAATAATGGAGGGAATCAATGAAGCCAAAAATTGGTTCTTTGATAAAGTCAACAAAAATGACAAAGCATTAGCTGGACTGACAAAGAAAAAAAGAGAGATTTAAAGTGACTGAAGAAATAGACACGCTGATTAGATCTATATGAAAAAAAAGATATTGAATTAGTAATCAAACAATAAAAGTCAAATCCACATGGCTTCTTTAAAAATTTTATCAAATGTTTAAAGAAAAATGAACACAAATCCTCCACAAACTCTTCCCAAGAAATGAAGAAAACACTTCCTAAATCATTCTATGAGGACAGTTTTACTCTCATATCAAAACCAGACAAAGACATCACAAGAAAACTACAGACCAATGTCTCTTATATCTATCCTATCTAATAAAAGCCAAAAAGGGTAATTAACCGTACCTCCGCTAAGCTTCCCATTGGCTAATCAGGGCGATATGCAAATTAACTGCCAACAAAGATGGCGGTCAGCAGCCACGCAGCTGAAGTAAACATGAGGCTTGCTTGCTCCAGTGATGGAGGAAGCCAAGGTTCCCCGCCTGC